TTGTTACTAGTCTTATTGTTAGTATTATTAGTAGTAATATTAGTATTGTTATTATTAGTATTGATATTAGTAGTAGTAGCGTTATGAAGTCTATTGTTGCTAAGTTTACTATTATTGTTATTTGTATTAGCATTAGTATTGGTATTATTCATATTATTATTGTTAGTGCTAGTATCATAATTATTGTTAGTACTGTTAGTATTGTTGCTGTTGCTATTATTACTATTATTACCACGCGTATTGTTATTAGTGTTATTATCGTTATTATTGTTATTAGTATTACCTATATTATTGGCATTAATGATACTAATCTGAGTATTGTTATTATTATGATTAGTATGCGTATCATTCCTCTTCTTATTACTATTATTATCCGTGTGATTATTATCAGTATTCTTCTCATTATTAACTGTATCATTATTAATAGCATGATGACTCTTATTATTGGTATCAGTGTCATTATTAGCATTCGTATTCTTCTTCGTCTGAGTATGATTCTTATTCGCATTGTTAACATTACTCTTATTATTATTATCATGAGTATGATTAAGTTTCTTATTAGTATTAGTATTATTCTTCGTAATATCAGTATTACTAGTACTAATATTATGATTGCTCTTACTATTATTATTATTATTAGTACTAGTATGCTTATCAGCTCCATTTATTATTCGCAATAGTATGCTTACTAGTACCATGATTACGATTGTTTTTATTATTGCTATGTATTAGTATTATGATTATTCGTATTATCTGGATTAGTATTATCTATTACTACTACTATTATTCCTATTATTCCTCTTCTTCCTCCTCTTCCTCCTCTTCTTCCTCCTCCTCCTCCGACTCCCCATCCTCCTCCTCCTCCTGCTCCTCCTTCTCCACCTCCTCCTCCTCCTCCTCCTCCTCCTCCATCTTCCTCCTCCTCCTCCTCCGCCTCCGCCTCTTCCTCCTCCTCTCCTCCTCCTCCTCCTCCCTCCTCCTCCCCCCTCCTCTCCTCCTCCTCCTCCTCCTCCTCCTCCTCCTCCTCCTCCTCTCTACGTACCAGGGTCGCGACCCCGGGGGCCCGGCTGCGAGACCGCAGATACGGCCATGTGCTTCGCCCACAAGGAGCGCCCTGCCTCCGAGGAGCGCCGAGAGGGAGGCCGCCGACGAGCCCCCGAAGTAGGGAAACCAGAAGGCACCGATACCGTCGCCCAGGGTGCGTTCTGACCAGAGTCTCGAGGCGAATCCAGCCAGTGGCGACGAGGGCCTCCCAGGAGGCCCCAAAGCAAGAAAACGATGCGAAGGTGGCGGCATCGGTACCATTGGACTCCTCCGACGAAGGGCCGCCGGCCCTCCTCGACGCAGGGGCTCCGCGGCCCCGTGTGCGGCAACGGCGGCGGCGGCGAGCGCCCTCGCCAGCCAGAGCATCTCTCGTGCGCGCGCGGGCGCCGCGCGCGCGCGCCCGGCCTTTGGTGGGGGCCTCGAGGAGACGTGGCCAGGGGTTGCACAGCCCAGGCCCCCTCCGGTCGACAACGCGAGCATGCTAAAGTCGTGCAAAAGCCAAATGGAAGTGAACCCGGCGCAAATCCAACTAGGAGTCTTCACTAGTCCAAAGTCCTTCAAAGCAGATCTGAGCAATACAGAGCAGCTCAGTGCATAAGCACTGCTTGGCATTGCTTGGCACTGCTTGGCATTGCCTGGCATTGTTTGGCACTGCTTGGCGCTGCCTAGCATTGTTGGGCATTGCTTGGCGATGCTTGACACTGCTTGGCATTGCTTGGCGATGCTTGGCAGTGCTTGGCAGTGTACGAAGAACCAAGACAACCCCGGGCAACCCTGGGCAACCCCGACGAGCGCCTCTGATGAAGGCCTTCTTCCACACACCAGCAAGAACTCCTGGGCAAAGCCTAATTGAGGAATCCATAATTCCCACCTGTTCGGGACCTCTTGGGGTCAGACTTGCGGCCGTCCTGGGGCGACTTGAGCGCCACTGGGACCCTCTTGGACTCTCGTGCGTCCATCTTGGGCAGGCTTGGTTTTGTCATGCTTCGCCTTGCCGTGTCCTGCCTGGTCTTCGAGGCACTCTCAGAACGTCTGGGAGGCCGTCCCTGGCCGTCTTGGACGGCTGACACACCTTTGTCGTGGCCGTCATTCGACTGGAACGGTTGGCCCGCTCCGAAAGGGGGAGTCCCCTCCCCAGAGGTCTGGACGGGGGGGGCGCGAGGGGTAGCAGCGTCCAACCCTGGACGGCCCCAAGATGGCCTCCAATGTTGCCTCATGGCGCAAGATGAGGCCCAAGGTGGCCCAAGAAGGCCTCCAGCATGGCCCTCAAGGATACCCATGGAGCTCCCCCAAGAGGCCAAAACCATACAAAATCCTGAGGCTGCTCAATAAGTATCGCCTGCTCGCCTTTTCGCTGACTCGGTGTCTTTTGGGTCTCAAGACGGCACAAGAGAACCCCCAAGAGGCAAGAGGGGCCCAGAAGGCCAGCAGGAGGACCCCAGAGGTCCCAAAGAGCACCTCAAGAACCCCCGATGAGGGCTCCACGGGGCGGTTTGTAGTATGGCTCCCAAGGATGGACTTGATCTGACTGCCTATCAGACCACCCCAACCCGACCCGAAGACCCGAATTTCGGGTTGGGGGAGGTACGGGTTCCATATGTGTTTTTGTTCCATGATCCCCGGCCCCCCCCCCACTAGAAAGGGAGGGCAAATTGAGGCCTTCGTGTTGGGTTGGGGTGGTTTGGTGGGTGGTGGATTGCTTCCTCGACGGCAGGTCAGTTCAGAGGTCAGCTTCGGCAGCACGAGCCCAAGAGACTCACAAAACAGATCCAACGAGAGCAGCGCTGCGCTGCTAGCTGGGCGCCGTCGTGCCATTGCACAGTGATAAGGCCGCGGGCGGCACGAGCACAAACATAGCCTTCTGAACAAGCGTTGTTGTACAGCCACCGTTCCTCAAGCAATTCTGCCAGCTCGGAACTTTCAGGGAATGGCAGCCCGTGGATTGTTGTTTCCAGGGCCTCTGCAAGAGCTCACTCCAAGCCACCATTAGCTTGCTACGGTTAATAAACCATCTAACCCTCTAATATACGATGGCCGTAGCCTGCCTGCTCCTGCTTCGCATGTTCTTTGACCCTCACAAACCCTCGACACGCATAGTGGCTCTGACCATGTTCCTTTGAACCGTGTCGGCATGCATCTGCCTCTGGGCGGTCGGTGGCAAGCATGTGCCGAGAACCTGCATGATGGGTAACACAGCCTGGTCCACGAGGGCAAATCGAAGACCCCGTGGGCATCTTCGAAGCGACGTTGAAGGGTAATTCATGG